AAGAAAAACATATCAAAGAGGACAAAGCCTGATGGGAAGCTTTCAATGAATCCTGATGCATGAGATTTCACCATGAAAATATAATAGAAAGCATAAAGACAAGATTAGCTGGATGGGAAGCTATCAATCAACAAAAAATACTGCAGGTTTACAGATGTTATTACTTGCTTGGTATTGGGGTTGTTTGCTCTTGGGGCAAAAAGTAACCTTGAAAAATAATAAAAATATTGTTCATAGATATACTGGCAAAGTGTGGTGGTGTGGATGGCAAACCATATCCGCAACAAATCAATCCACACTGTGGACATTAATTTTAGACTTTGAATTCTCCAAAGAATATTGACATAAATATGCATAATGATACCGTTTTTTTATAGTCTTGATTGCATTTTTTACAAAGTTTGGTTTAGAGCCAAAACGTTCTTGACTTGTGGGTCTGTTGTTTAAGAACTTATAAGCCTTTTTTTATAGAATTTACCTACAGCTTCAAAACATTTGTAGCTCCTGACTACTTTAGACTCTTGATATATGAGTTCAAACAAAAGTTTCCCAGCAGCATCACTCAATATTTGTACTTGATGAAGAACAGCGAATACATATTCAATTTTAGCCTAACTCGATTTTCAGTTCAAGAATTAGTAACAACTTTTTTAGGCAATTATTTTATATTCTTAGCCCTTAGTAATAATTCCTGCTATCTGAGGAGCATGTAAACTATTTTGTCAAAAATTTCACTCGTGAGCCACCCTTTTGTTTTAATATTAACTTGAATAGTCATGGGTCATGTGATCATGACACTAAGGAAAATCATTTCAACTATTATGTGTAGTATCTTTTCTATGTTGAACCCAAGATTCAACATTTAGTATATCAAGAAAGTTACTGAAAAGACAAAATGTAAAGAACTTATTGCTTTTTGAAATAATTTATTTTATTACCTCCTAATTGATTTTATCTCAGAGTGTACATAAATATAAACATACAGTACAGATAAAAATAATATACTGCTCAAAAATAAGTGCACTTTAAACCTTTTTGACATTCTACTTGAGGTCCTTATTTCACAGCTGCATGTTGTGTGAGCAGTCGTAAAGATCGTAAACAACAACATGGCAAAAGCAAAATTCTTTCAACCAACAACAACAAGTGGCAAAAACTATCATTGCCATTCAAGAGCATAAAAGTAAGAAGACTAACAGTGTGTTGTACAAGGACTCGGCAGAGTGTAAAGATCATCCCACAACATTTGTTAAGACTTTAGTTCACCGTCCTTGCAAATTTGAGTAACGTAAAAGTACAACGTCTTGTTGGTCCTGTTCGGCAAACTTTTATGACTTTTTGTTCCCTCTTCGCAAAATGAGAAGTCCACTTGACTTGTCCCAGTAAGTGCGACTGATAATTCATTCTTTCTTTCTTGTAAGTAAGCGGTATAAGTTCGATTTTTTCGGTAAAATATTGGAGTCATTTAGAAAACATTCGTACGTATCACACGCCATGTGTTTCCGACCTACGTTCGGTGAAAGTTCGCCGACCCGTCGAATCTTCGTTTTCCGAAAAAGTGTCCCAGCTACCTGGTGCACACATCGATCCATCACGTGACCAGTGTTTCATACCTTGTCACAGATTAGTATGTAGTCGCGAGGCGCGAGATAGCGACGTAACACCACAGGTAACCCGCATGTTTGCTAAGAGCGCGCGCCGATACATATACATAATAAAAGCGTAAGCATTCGTTCTTTTCTGTCTCTAATGCATTAGTTGGGCGGCCTATGGTTCTGGTTTACTCTGTGTTAGCCTCAAAACCAATTAACATATTCTTTTGTTTTATTGATAACCCGAGAAAAATGCACATGGAATTTGTGAAGAAAAACAATAAAATTGATTTGAAATCTCACACTTTTATTTTCACAATTAGGAATATTTTGCGCACAAATGAGGCTATCACAGAGCATTGTTGGAGAATTCGAAACTGGATTATTACTACAAAGTGCCTCAATTATCTTCTTGCGAGGCTCAATAACTGTCTGGAGGGACTGCTTTGTTTCGTAAACACGCGACGACATGAATATGTCGTGTTGGGCTTTGTTGATCGTCAAGCGTCCATTTTTGTGAGTAATCTCATTGTTTTTGTCTCGTTTATTGCTATTTATTTATCACAGCTTTCATTCTGCAATATCGTTAGGAATGAAGGGTATTTTCTTGAGTGTTTTTCAGATTTTAAATCGTTCTTTGTCACGATTTCACAACTTAAAAAGTCCGTACGGAGTAACCACAAAAACTAAGAACTATTCCTTAGCTAAAATACAGCTTGCGCTCAGACGGGAAGGTAGTCATAGAACTCCCAAAGTAGAGGACTGGCTACACCATCGGGAATAGTTGTGTGGGTTCTTTTGCATCATTCTATTATTACTATTTAATACGATTTAGCAAGTTTACACTG